TACAACTTTTGTATTCACTACAACCATAGCAAACATCATTTACACCACGAAAATAATTGCACAAGCAAAACTGCAAATCCAGCCCAACAGCAGTGGTATAGAAAACTGATAGCATCTTCAGAGAAGCATAACTGGAGTTCTAGACCTTCAACAAACATGAACCATAACTTTTTGAAAATATTAGGAAGTTACCTGCAACTTAATTATTCTCATATTAAGATGATTCTACAGTTAGAAGGGTCAATTAATCCAATAATTGCATCTCTGTCCAAAACATAGACAGAAACTGACATGTCACTTTAAACAGCTATAAATGGGGTTATATATGTCCAATAAATGTGGTTCTAGACTTTTTAGAAAGCTTGTCAAATTCTAAACAACTTTGTTGTAAACACCTAAAGCTAATTCTACTAGTAAGAAGGCCCCACAGTAAGAACAAGGAAACCCTCTCTGGTTTTGGGCAGAAACAGCCACAGAGATCTAAGCAAGTATAACTCAAGATCTACTTTACCAAAAATCATGATATTTAGCTTTTTGAAAAGCTTAATAAAAGTACTACAACTCATGTATTTTCATAAAGTCATGATTCATAACTTAACTAAGCCAATTAATTCAAACATGCAGTCCTATTCAGAATAGGAGCAAATCAAAATAGGGCATTTGTTATTTTTATAACTCTTAAAATATCAAGCCTAAAATATTGAAATTTTTACCAGACATCAGTAATAACCTTAGTAGCACTCCACAAAAATTTCACAATTATTTGAGCACAACAACTGCAGTTATAAAAAAAACAAATAAGACTAGCATTCAAACCCTAACTGCACAAATCCATTTTTACAGCTAAAACTTTAAACTAAAACCTGAGATATTATAGATCTAGTGCATAGAGAATTTCACAAGGATTCCAAAAAGTCCTCATTTACTATTTTACGAATTTTCTACGATTTACTATGAATTTCCAAAGTTTCACCCGATTTACAACAAATAGGTCCCACGAGGCACTATTCACTTGAGTCAATGACATTGCATTTAGGCCCTTCCTTTAGTCGAATTTGAGGACGAAGTCCCCTGACGTGAATTTTTTGAAGGGCTGCACAGAGAAGCTGCTTGCTCACGCCGGAGGAGGCTCGTCGGCGGTGGGGGAAGTGGCGAACCTGAGCACGAGGCAGCAGTGGCAAGACTGGCCGGTGGCCTCGGCTCGGCCCGAGGTGGAGCATGGAGCCCCACCACGTCTTGGCCGTGGCCTAGGCCGAGCCACACTGTGGTGAGGGCACGCCGGTGATGAGCGGCTTCAGCGAGGGTGCGGGGTTGCGGCGAGGAGGTGAGGGAGGTGGTGGTGCGGTCAATTTGGGTGGAGGAGGTTGGAGATGCAGAGGCAATGCGCCATGGAGATGGCATGACCCGCCATGGCGGTGATTTGGTCGCGCCCTCAAGCAGCAAAGAAGAAGACGCGAGAAAAAAAAGGAGAGGGAGGCGAGCGAGTGAAGGGAAACGCGCTCGGCTCTCCGCATCGACGCAGGGGCGCAAGGACGCGCGGCAGCAAGGTGAGGTGCTCAACTCGGGCATGGAGGACACGTCCAGGACACGCGTCGCCGTTCGGGCAAATCCTCGAGCACGTGGCGGGCGACGAACGGGGCATGGTGGGCGGCGCTTTTGGGCTAGATCCGGGCCAAATCAGGACATGGGCCGAATACGAAGATCGAAGCCCGCACGAAGCTCTACGTTTTCTATTAAGGGTGCCAAGTCATTTGAGTTGTAGATCAGCGGTTAATCAAGTCCAAAGTTGACACTGTCAACGTGTTGACAGCGGTTAAGTAAACGCAAAAATTGATCATCCAACCAAAGTCAAACTGGTGCTATGTTTTTGCACGCTCTTCTCCACAACGTATACTCCAACTTTTATCTTTGGACCAAATCAAGTTGCTTAACGAATTTCGGAGAACGCGAGATGCCAATGCCGATGTCGATGAAGTCCTAGACTTAGAATTCTAAGTGCTGAAATCAGTAGCAGGTTCCAACTTTGAGCCACTGCTAGACTTGGTTCCGAGCCGATCCATGGTGTACTCCAAAAACAAAGCTTGTTGTACGCGAACCAAGCAACAACTTTCATTAAAGGTTCTTAGACTAGTTTGGCCTGATTAGGAAGACACAAAGCTCCAAACTAGGGTACCCGAACAAAAACGTCAGTTAGGACTTAGACAAAATCTTGGGCTCCAAATCAGCACTTTATTGAATCTTGTGAGCTCTGTTTGACTAGGTTATGGACCAAACTAGCTCTTGGTCCAAAAACAAAGTTTGTTCTACATGATATGGACTACAACTTTCATTTAAGGTCCAACCTCAAAACTAGTATAGAATCTACTGTTCTACTTTGACCAAAGTAGGATCACGATGGAGCTTAAATTATCCTTTTTGATCCATTGGAGCGTTTTCTTGGCATTTGCCCAACATGAACCTTTCATGACTTTTGTTGCACTATTCATCTAGAGTCATTTTGGCAAGGTTGCAAGGTTTGGTTGACATCTCATGCTCTCATTCACTTAATAGTGCAATTCAAGCACTTAGTAAAATCATCCCAACAAGGATATAACTTATCATTTCATGTGACTTTTTGATTCCAATCTTCATGAAACTTTTCCATGGATCAATATAGGTGGATATTGATGTGAGACACATGAAGATATTCCCATAACACTAGCCAAGCATATATCTTGAAAAGGGCCTATATGTAAAGCAAGGGTGCAATATCCAAGTTTAGGTTGGGGCTCATTTCTATAGGTTGGACCTTGGCATCTTCACCATCACTTAATATGCCATGTTTGAGCTCAAACCCATTGCTTAACTGGTGGCAAACACCTGGGGTGTTACAACCGTGTCGGTCATGTTGTCGTCGAGCTCGGAGAAGGCTTCCTTGGAGCCCGTCATGTGGTTGCTAGCGTCAGAGTCCAGGTACCACCGATGCTTCTGTCTGCCGCCCACACGTCCGAGGTGGACTTGGGTGCGCGGTTCGTCGAGGTTGATAGCCTTCAGAGCCTTGTCGTGCCCTTCCACCGCCATCACCTCTCCCTTCTCCTTCACCTCAATGTCGTGCAGTGCAAGAACATTGCCATCAAGACAGGGCCTCATCATCCTCATTAGCCTACGCTAAATGAGCCTTAGCCTTCTTCTCCTGCTTGCAATTTGGTCACTCCTTTGCCTAATGGCCCGAATTCCCCCAGCGTCGGCAGGCGTTGGGATCGCCACCGTGGCTGGAGGAGGCTTCCCTAGAGTTCCTCCGGGCAGCCCACTCCTCTGTCAACAGTAGCTTCCCGCTGTCCATCGTTACCGTGGCCTGCTCCATGCACTCATCCACCGCCCGCAGACGGCCTGTCACATCCTCAATGGTGAGGGTGGACAAGTCCAGCATCGTCTCTATGGAGAGAGCGATCTGGATATACTTCACCGGCACAGAGTGGAGGTACTTGGAGACCGCCTCTTCTTCATCGATGGTGACGCCGTGGCTCCTCAGCTTGCTAATGAGCGACTGCAAGCGGAGGGAGAAGTCCTCCACCAATTCACCATCCTTGAACCTGAGGTTGGCGTACTCCTGCTTCAGCAGCTGGGCCGTCGCCTTCTTTGCGTGGTTGGAACCGGCGCACATCACTGCAATGGCCTCCCACGCCTCCTTAGCAGAGTTATTCGTCCCCAACAGCTCCCTGTACTTTGTTGGCATAGCAGCGAGGATAGCCTCCAAATACTGACATGTCATCTTCTTCATTGTCGGTGCCCTTGTCAATAGCATTCCAGAGCCATCGGGCTCTGAGCTTGGCCTTCATGGTCACCGCTCACTCGCCATAGTTGGTGCGAGTCAGCGTCGGCCAACTAGTGCCGCTGACCTCCCGCACCATGCGCACGATGACCTCCTATCGTGGCTGAGCAGCCACAGCAGCGCCGCTGCTGTCGCCCATCTCTAAACCGTCCGTCATCGCCAGCGGTTAGTCCGACGACGGCGCTTGTACGGCTCTGATACCACTTATTGGCCCCTGGATCTCTGGCATGGGTGAGCCGGCCGCTCACCGTCGTTGCCGACGACACGCTATGGCTAGAAGTAGAAGAAGGGAGGGAGAACAGAGCGCACACACACAGCACAAGCACAAGCGTTGGCCGGAGCTCTGCAGAGGAGATAGCAAAACTGAACTCGCTCTCTTTACTAAGTTGCAATGGGAGGCTATATATACAACTCTACCCATCTAATCCTAGTGCATAGACATGCCAGGCTGCTACAGTGACTAGATGTGACAGCAGGGCTGACTTTGGTGCCTGCCCCTGCTGTGGCTACAGTGCGGCAGGAGAGCCTTTCGGTGCCTGCCCCTGTCGCGACTACAGTGCCGAAGCAGGGGAGCCCTTTCGGTGCCTGCCCCTGCCGCGCGTATAGAGGAGAGCAGCAGATTACTTAACAAGAGTTGCATCTGCTTGTGGAATCGGGTTCACATGTTGGTGAGGTTGTGAAGGTGATGAGCAAGTCAAAGGTTCTAGTAAAGGTACAACTCTTCTCTTTCTTTGGTTTTTAGATGTGGCTTATGAACATCCCAGTCTTGCTTTGGCATAATGGAAGAAGCACAATATTTCATTCCTGGCTATATGTGAAAAGGAACAAATACATCCTTTCTAATCCAAAGTATGCTGTAAAAAATAATGCACGCGAACAAGAATAGATGTTATGCAAATATCTAGTACTCGGTCTATGCAAATATTAGGGAATATAATAGAAACTGGAATGGTGCTTATCATAGATTTCAGGATCGAACACTCATTATTTGTCATGACATTCTATTTATAATTTCGGTGAAAAATAGCAATAATTCAAGCTGATACCAATTTACTGTGCCTCTTTTCTCTGGTTTCTTTGTTTTTACATAGTCCACAGTATGATCATTATGATAGCAGATGTATTTGTATTAGCATGTATGTTTTGAATGGGACTGAGTTTCCACATATCCTACTGTATCTAACTGGTTATGGCAATCTCTCAGGTGCATCCAGAAGGCAAATATATTGTTGATGTTGATAAAAGTATAGATATTGCAAAGCTCACACCTTCCACACGAGTTGCTCTTCGAAGCGGGAGCTATATGCTTCATGTTATTCTGCCCAGCAAAGTCGATCCATTAGTTAACCTTATGAAGGTTGAGAAAGTTCCTGATTCTACATATGATATGATTGGCGGTCTTGATCAGCGAATTAAAGAGATCAAAGAGGTGTGTAAAGAATTTCATCGTACAGTACATTTTGTTGTTTTGCCCTTCTGTTAGCACTCTGGCTTAATAACTCAATCTTCAGGTAATTGAGCTTCCAATAAAGCATCCTGAGTTGTTTGAGAGTCTTGGGATTGCGCAACCAAAGGTTAGGGTTTGTTTACCAGAACCTTTATATGTGTGTTTTTTGTATCAATCAAGTAATTTATTCTGTGGATAATACTATATACTAAATTGATATTTATCCTATTCATCTTTCAGGGTGTCATTCTCTATGGCCCTCCAGGTACTGGAAAAACATTACTTGCTCGTGCAGTTGCTCATCACACAGACTGTACCTTCATTAGGGTGTCTGGTTCTGAGCTGGTTCAGAAGTACATTGGAGAGGGTTCCCGGATGGTTCGTGAACTTTTTGTGATGGCTAGGTACACATTCTCAGTTTATGTTGCAGTCAAATCATCACTCATCACCATCAGTGTTACTTCAATGGGATTCTAAGATAAATTGTTGCGATAAATGCTGCATAGTTATATTCCAAGATGCTTAATTATCTCATTTTGTCTTGACAGGGAACATGCACCATCCATTATATTTATGGATGAAATAGACTCCATTGGATCAGCTAGGATGGAGTCAAGTGGCAGTGGTGATAGTGAGGTTCAGTGCACCATGCTTGAGCTTCTGAACCAACTTGATGGTTTTGAAGCAACGAACAAGATTAAGATTCTCATGGCAACAAACAGGATAGACATTTTGGATCAAGCCCTCCTGAGGCCTGGACGCATTGACAGGAAAATTGAATTTCCAAATCCAAGTGAAACTGTAAGTGATGCAGTACTTGGAATGCTAACAGTTTTTCAGCAATCAAGTTTTCAATGCCCACAATGTTTTTAAGGCGTTGCCTAGGCGACGACTACACGTCCGGGCAACGGAAATGTCTGGGTGTCGGGGGTCGCCTAGCCAGGTACCGTATGGCGTCCGCCTCGGCGTCTAAGGCGTCCGCCTTTTGCGTTAGGCGTCTGGGGCGACGCCAACCAGCCTGAGGCGGTCGCCATACTCGTGAGCAGCCGCACGCGGGAAAGGAAGGGACCCAGGGCGGGAAATCGCTCCTGCGCGGGACTTCTCCCGCCTTCCGTCGTTTCCAGCGCGCGCATACAGAGGAAATCGCGCGGGAATAGAGAGAGATTGCGAGAGAGGGAGGGGATTGGGAAGAGAGAGGGAGAGGCAGATCCTGCTGGTGTTTCTTCCCCACTCGCGGCCAGGTCCCGCTCGTCCTCCCGCTCGGAGCCGTCCGTCGTGCACGTCCGCTTGGAGCCGCGCGTCCTCCAGCACGAGTCCACTTGCGTCTTCCGCTTCCTCTGTGCGGACCCGTGCTTCCGTCCGCACAGACCAAGAGGAGCGGGACGACCTGCTTCTTCTGCGGACCCAGGATGGCTTCCCCGGTGCCCAACTCCGCCCAGCGACAAGCCATGGCTTCTCCGGTGCCAAGCTCTGCTCAGCCTTCAGGCCAGCCCTCCACTGGACCAGGTATCCCTCGCCTCCTCTCTCTCTATTTCTCTCTTAAAAAGGCCAAAGCTGCAGATGGCATGTGCGGCTGTCCCCTGCTTTGTTTGCTCTTACAAAGGCTAAAGCTTGCATGCAGCTGTCTCCTGCTTTGTTTGTTTGCATATAAAACAGAGCGGATAGTAATTACATGGGTACAATTATTGCTTTGTCTACTTGTGCTTTGATTTATAGATGCTATATAAATGGAGTAGTACATTAGCTGTTGTTGCTCTATTTTATATAATAACTGCTGTGTTTTATATGCTAATTGCACTGCCTTTATGCTAATTTGATTTATTTATTAGGCTGGAGGGTGCTCGTGCTCCGTGCTCTGTTTTAGCTGCTTCTGCTCTGTGCTAGACTAAAAAGGGCGTATCCAGTGCAAAGAGCTCTGTCAGTGGCAAGCCTTAGCCTCGCCTGTGCAATGTGAGGAGACCGCGAATTGAACCCAGGACCTTCCGGTCACAGGCGGTAAGACTCTACCACTTGCACCAAGCCCGCCCTTCTGCTCTGTGCTAGACTGCTAGTAGATAATTAAATTGGTAGTTTACTGATTCCTACATTTTGCCATTCTCTGAACTCATTAGTTTATAAAAATTATGCAGCAGAAACCATGGCAAGTCCACCATCAATCGTCAGCGGATATGATCCCAAGAACAATCCAGCCCAAAAGCCGCAAAGGTCAAAAGATCTAGCTTGGAGGTTTGGCTATTGGCTGAACCTTCAAAACAGAGATGAGGTGGCATGCACCTTATGTGGTGGCTCAGTTCGTGGAGGCATTATATATCAATATGTTTACTAGGTAGCGTGCCCGTGCGTTGCTACGGGACATCTAAACTTTTGTACTAAAAACACACGGATCGCACGATAAGATAACAATACCGTGAAATTAAATACCGACGTTAAAGTGATATTTAATCCAAAAGGCAAAGTTTATGAAATTAACACAGTCATGAAGAGCGCGGCGTCGTAGACTCACAAACTCTACTGTATAGACCTTTCGTGATGCGGCTAAGATAATGTTTTATATCAGCAGAAAGAAATCTTCGATATCCATTTCTTTCGTGCGTCAATAAGTTCACGAATAAGTTCCGCCGCATCTCCGTACCATCCTGTATATAGGTTCGAGTATATATGTAAATATTAGTGTCTGTCACATGGTTAATACTGTCAACAAAGATTTGAAAACGTTAAGAAAGCGGCTGTTTTCCTATCCATATAGTAAATTTATGCTCTGACCGCTATAATTTGAAATTCTCGTACGTTGCAACATGAAAAAATGATACCTCGGTAACATACGTATGAGCGACGTGTTTTCCTATCCATAGGAAAGATTTTTTTGCTTTATACTCATAAAATTTTCATTTTTGTTATCTCATAAAATACACTTTTATTTAAAATTGGTTCTATATACATGTTTTGGATTTCCATGATGTAAATCTTCCTCCACTTATACATAACGGTAGCCATTCATATTTTAGAAATTCGTAACAGAATGACAAAAACACTGACAACAAAACAATATACAAGGCCACCAATTCTCCCAACGTAACAATGTGCTAGAACCTGATAGACACAAGGGAAAACATTTGGCTATAATCAAGAGATAAAAACAAATTCCACATTTTTCATTCCTTAAAATATAATCACACATAATATTGGAGCCTGTTTGGTAACCCTTCGCTTCATGATTCTCGACCGGAGCGACCATTCGGGTGATGAGCTGAAAATATCGAGCACACACAACACACAGATTCTCTATCAGTTTTCCCTCATCGTCTGCAACTCTCTCCGCGGACAGCATCCCTTCTTAGCAGTATGGCCGCCCTTCTCAATAGCCCGTGTCACAATGAGTGATGCTATAAATCAGAAAATTCTGGATATAGTTGGACTGCATGATGCAATGCGACTATGTGGAAACGTGTAATTCGAACATGCCTAGAAGAAAAACATTAGCAATCAGAGAATGAACAAAACAAAGCAATACAAAGCATGCAAAACAAAGCCAGAAAATATGTTCGGAAACCCAAAAAGTCAGTGGCTTGTGCATTGCTTCATAGCAAGGGAAAAATAAAAATTCGAACAAATGGATATAGCCTGCACCTGATATTTTCAAGTCTCCATCAGTACATATGAACATTTTTAAAAAAAATGATGAGACAGCATGCTAATATTAACCTCTTATTGCAATCAACATAGATGTTGCAACCCAGTAAACAGAAACCAACAACTCTTAGGACGGACTAACTTACATCATGAGACCATATTTTTCCCCAGATTTTAACTTTCACTACATCAACAAATGGACATGCCACATAATTCGGGTCTAACTTACATCATGAGTAAATGAAGCGCCCTAAAAATATCACAGTCAAACTCGAAACCATGTCCCAGTCAACCTCGAATTACAGTGGCATTATTGAAAAGGCTTACACATTAAGACTTTCACAACTTCAAGGAACAATGAAAACATGCATGTGAATCCACACAAATGCAACAACAGTATGCATGATGGTACAGGGCATTCTGTGATTCAGTGATTTGATCCCTTCTAGATTCAGTGATTTATTTAATTTTAATGATGCTTTTTTAGATCATTTACTTGGACTTCAACTCCTGGGTTTTATAGAACTGGCAAAGTTGTTTCCAATGATACCTATGCTTAGTGAGTGAGCGAGTAAGAAATAAGGAACAGAAAATAAAAATTTACAGGTTCTATGAATACGTGCATAGATATAAGTTGATTTAGCATCTGGAAAGTTTGAATGTAACTATAACAGTAAAGCATACCATATTCCCCGTTGGGCCGAGAAACATGCCATTATATTGAAAGAATTGGGCAAACTCTCATTATATATTTGGGGGAGAAATATTCATGTCAGACCACAAGACTCGGTTTCAAAATTGCAGTAGCATCTAAGGGAAACACCAGACATACAAATTCAAGTAACTATTTCCGTCCTCCCTTTAGCTATTAAAGACATAAAACATAGTAATAGAAAACATAAGACATCGTCAGTCTCTGGCTAGTTGCTTACACCGTACCAATGTCACTGACACACTGAACTTCTAAGGTCTGCAGTGATGTTTGATCCTGAGTAAAACATTTTTCAGGTTTGAACCAGCCAGAGTGAAAATCCCTGGACGGTATTTTTCAGGTCACACGACAACTCAACAACTATTACTGCTAAGATATAAATTCACACAAGCCAACAGCTGGCCTTCCTTGTACATCACAGCAATAAGTGACACTGCAACTACACGCATCTCTTATATTCTTTAGAGATAAGATCCAACCCATCAAGAACTTACCGCTACAACTATGGGTGAATAAACTCATAGGTACTGACACCAAGGGACTCACGCCTTTATCTAGGTGATGAATTGACACCAAGGGAGAACCAGTACTGATCTATTTGCTGCAACTGAACAAAGAAGACACAGGCTAGCTGATTAGGTACTTACATGTTCACCTCATGCAATACTGGTGCCGACGTGCTTGCTTGAACTGAGGTCCTCAACTCAATGTTCACCTGAAAAAAGAAATTGGTAACTCTTCCTTCATAGAACATCAACGATCAAAACACAGTGATCTAGTGGCTTTCTTCTTTAGTCACTACATGGAATGGGAAACTCAGGTTTGACCATGTCAACCACAGGAATGCAAGATGAGCAGAGCCAGCCAAGAGAGATAGCCACAGGAATGCAAGTGTGAAAGCCTCTTTTCCATCCTAAGTGACAACCATACCTTACTGTTTTCTACTTTTCCATGGCTTTTTTAAGTTCTTGCTTAAGAGATTCCTACAACCACAAATGGTCTACTTAGAGTTTGACGTTAGTGGACTTTGATGACGGGGAGCAGATTGGAATTGGACAACCAATCAAAATCCGTATATAGCAGGAAAGGAGAAGAGTTGGCATACCTGCTTGGAAATAAAAAAAAACCGTACACAGCAGGAAGGGAGAAGAGATGGCCAACGAAGACGTGACGTAGTAGCGCGTGGCCGGGTGCAGGCCACGGAGGCAGACGTGGCTGTGGATGGCGGCGGGGTCGAGCAGCGCGAGGTTGGAGCCCACCCGCGCGCAGCCCGTCACCCAACCATGAAGTCTGATATACAACTTGTTTCTATGAATCATTGTCACATAGTATTGCATTAGTAAATTAGTGAAGGGATTAAAATGATATATGTAAATAAATGTCTATTTTTAAACCATACATTTAAGCTAATATTGTGACTGGTATTGTTGAATTAGTCTATAAAACCTATGTAGAGAAA